ATACTATTTAACGCAATATAAAAGAAATTCAACCAAATACTAAAATAGCGTAAAACGGTACAATGTATCAACGTGAAATTAAATACTTCAAAGAACATGTATTTTGAATGTACGTCAATAAGAAAGATCGGCATGAAATGCTAAAAGTATCTCATAATTCAAAACAATAAAAAAGCAAAGACAATAGGCTTGAACAACAACTGTATATAAAACGTTACAATATATTGTATGATCTTGTAAAATCTGTATGATAACATGTGAATATAATATTTCCTGATACCATTTTTAATTGACTCACTGATATCAATATCTGTACTCATTTTTTACGCTCGCTCGATCGTCAACTCGTATATATTTCCTTATTGCATAATAACACGTTCTCCCTGGGAAATAGGCAGAGAATAGAATTTATATTCAAAGAATCCCGTAAAAGATCCCATTCATCCAAAGTTCCGTAACAAACCATATTCGATCCCGTATCAGCCGTATCAAGTTGAAAATGTAATTTGATTTCATATTTTTTTCACATTCTCAAATTAGACTATCTTCCTTAACTTCGAGCCAAATTATTATCCGCAACGTGACTTATAAGTAGGTGTAAATCGGGAAATAAAAAATCTTACCGAAACCTAGTCCCAGAAGTAGTTCCGCCATGATACACTGACGATACGTCTGTGTAACTAGGTGGGTAGCAGTGATCTTACTATAGTACACTAAATATGCTATTTCTCTCCATGCCAAAGAGTATGTATCAAATAAAGCGTGTACTTTCACCAAAATATTTGTTTTATACGTAACTAATTATTCATATTATAATCGTTTTTTAGTTGAGTCGATTGGTGAGTAAGTCCGTTAGTAGGTAGCTGATTACGTAACTGACTTAACCCATAAAGTAATATTTGGTTATCATCATATTGGTTTTTCGAAATGCAAAGCACCATAGAATCTAAAACGGAATTCAGATTTCAATTCTGATTTCAGATTAGGATTTCTGAAAAGATTGTACACCTTTTTCATAACCCACGCGTTAAATTTAGAGAACCCCGTAAAGACCTAGATTTGGACCTCGGCTTTTCAGTGTCCTTACTTTGAATGTCAAAATCAGTAAAAGTAATCAAAAGACGACGTCTTGCCTTTGAAATTAGATACTTTTTACAAGGAATATATTGAAAAAAGAAGGAGACATATTAAGGGACGGCTGAGAAAAGTGGTAAAATAATGTATGTATGACACTAGTACAATAACGTCATTTCAAAGGGCAATATAGTGAAATATTGGACCAAGGGCCCAAGGTCCAATATTTCACTATCTTGCCCGCAGAAATGACGTTATTACTATTATTACCACCGTTAATGCCCAGGGCTGAAATAGCAAATTTGAAATAGAATATCTTACGCACTGAACGATATCACTTTTTCGGGAAACATAGCCGGGCGGATAATGTCATTATTGCCCGACTAAAGTCATTAACACCCGACACAATATTGCTCACGTGCGTCAATATAGCAATTTAAATGCCTTCTCAACTAGTACTAAAACCCATAGAACAGGCCCTGCAAGGTGGTAATAATGTAGATTATAATTCAACCTATTCCATTTCTTACAAAAGATCAAATTGAATTGACCCGTCAATAATTAAATATAAACTACGGCTGTTTAACCTTTTTGTAAACTCTTCAGCTAAGATCCACCATGTGTTTGGTGTTTTATGGACAGTTAGAAAATGAGAAAGGCCTGGATGTAACATGCACCTTATTCTGAAAATTGTCTCCTGAAGGTCTTTCACACGACTACAGATCAAACGTCCCAAGCAGGGATGCGTTTACCGTTAACCATAAGTTTAACATTTTCAATAAGGGCGCAATAAGGTAGTATTTCAAAGCAATACATCACATTTGTGCAATTGGAGGGGTCATTCGTATACGGTCAACTTAACTGTCATTCTAAAAAGCATCATCCATTTGTATTTATTTGTCACTGGCAGGTTTAAGAGCATCCATATAAACATTAATTTTAAAATGTCAACTCTGTATTCATTCCCCACCAACATAGGGATTCGTAAGCAACGGGGCACTCTTCAAAAGCAGGGAGCGATTGAAAGATTAAGCTATTTATTAGAAATACTTTTATCTCCATTTTACCAGAACCAAAACAATATTATCAGCACACCATTAGAAGGCTTATCCATTCTTCTTAAATCTTATTTTAAACAAATGCTTGCTGTATGTGTAGCTATTTAAAATCATGAAAGCGTCTGTAATATTATTTATATATTATGTCAGTCAAATGCATATCACTTCCCAAAAGTCTGATTCAAATCTGTTATGAAGGACGGTATACGTTTTTCAATGATGCGCCGAATAATGTTAAGTTGCTATCTATTTCATATCGTCCAAACTGTATGTTGTTAGTATGAGGAAAATATTTCGCCATTTCCTTTAAACGTTCTATACGTTACAGTTCGTTTTTTAGTTTCCAAATGTTTCATTCAACTATGCCATAAAGGAGATTGAAACTCCGTGTAAATGAATATTTCCTTTGTATTTTCTCTGCATGTTTTGCTAATCTTTTAACTGTTTTTCAGTACCTTAACTAAATGAAAATGTATAGCGAAATTAATTAAATACGCGCTGTGTTTTGAACTTTGTAAAGGATTTACATTTGTAAAATTGTGCTTCCCTGCCTTGGAAAGCCACGCCTTCTCTATCATCGCCTTCGGGACGCTATGCAAACGGTATACGTCATTCTCATAAAGTTTAAGGGCGGCAATACTTCAAGTATACGTATAGGACGGGATGCGTCCAAATGAAACACACAATGGAAGTTGTTCATAGCGTACACGTAAATCATTGAATGACGGGCATATCAGTAGTTCTACGATTGTTCACCGTATTTATACGCCTATTTTTGTAATCATACATGGTCCACTGGCGGATCCAGATCCATCTTGCCCCCCCCCCCACCCACCTTGTGGGCCAAGAAAAACATCATAGGGCCCAAAAAATGTTTTGGTAAAAAATTACATAGGGCCTCATAAAAACCGAGCCTTTTTGGGAATGATTTGACAACCTAGGCCAAATTTTCAAAGAATGGGGGTTAAATTTTCTTCTGGATCCTCCAGTGTGGTCTAAGTTGTTAATTCGAAAAGGCCAAATAATTGCGATATTGAATGTGCAACTCATCACGGTACACCTCGCCCGACGAGTGACACGTGTTGGTAAAAGCTATCCAATCCTGCACATAGAACTCATGCATAATACAACAAGTTCTGGGATTGAAATTGTATAGTAGTTTAAGCCAATTTACTGACTGAATTACTCAGTTGGAGTAACATTCCCGGGGAAACTTTCCCGGGGACAGATAATAGTTCCCTCTATTGACCAAACTAGGTACTACACTTCACTCCACCTTTTGAAAATAACTAACTCATATATATATAAGCACTAGTGCCAAAGGGAAAGGACCAAAAGTTGTAATGGATCTTAGCCCGAAAAAGCAAACTCTAAGTGCATACTAGTCAAGAAAAACAAACCCCATATAGCCCAAAACCATGATCTAACGTGAAAAGAAACAATGTCTAATACCCCCTTTCCCCCACCATTCAAGAATCAATATCACAATCCAAGACCAGAAGACCAAGGGACATTTCATTCATACTGAAGTCATTACAATACATGTTGAAGAAAAAATCAGAAATTGATAGCCAATTGATAGCCAATACTCATAACCTCAAAAATTGTTGTAGATATAAGTACTAATACAAGATAGAGCATTCAGTCTCAAATGATGTGGGGTAGATAAAATCCAGTCTCCAAGTCCAAAGGTATTTCAAAGGGTCAACATCCATTCACAAAAGCCGTCGCCATAATCCATAAAACACAATAATTCACAATGGTCATCAGGAGAAAACTATGGCTGGTTGTAGATTTAAATGTCCTCTTTTGAATATTCATAATTCAATTTGGGTATTTTTTCTATTTTTCATAAAAATTGATTAGCCCAGTAGACTGTTCTCAAAACCAAGACTTGTCTTTTATAATAGGTTGTATGTGGAGCGGCTGGGGTCCATGGCAAACTGGAAAATGTTCAACAACATGTGGACCTGGAAAGAGGCACAGAAATAGAATACGAAGTAAACTCAAGGTTCCGAGAGGTCCACCTACATGCCCCGGTGACTCTACTGGAAATGAATATATAGACTGTGATCAACCTCCTTGTTACGGTAAGAAATAATAGTGACAATGTTACAGAATTCAATTTCACATTATAATCTATTAAATATAGATTACCTGTGGACCTGGAAAGAGGCAAAGAAATAGAATACGAAGTAAACTCAAGGTTCCGAGAGGTCCACCTACATGTCCCGGTGACTCTACTGGAAATGAATATATAGACTGTGATCAGCCTCCTTGTTACGGTAAGAAATAATAGTGACAATGTTACAGAATTCAATTTCACATTATGATCTACAGGGTGTCCAAAAGAAACAGGACCGTAAGAAAGTTGAATAACTTGGTCAATTTTGCATATTTTGCCTTAAAACATTATAATCTATTAAATATAGATTACCTGTGGCTCTGAATTAAATCTAAAACGAAAATAATAGGTTGTATGTGGAGCGGCTGGGGTCCTTGGCAAACTGGAAAATGTTCAACAACATGCGGACCTGGAAAGAGGCACAGAAATAGAATACGAAGTAAACTCAAGGTTCCGAGAGGTCCACCTACATGCCCCGGTGACTCTACTGGAAATGAATATATAGACTGTGATCAACCTCCTTGTTACGGTAAGAAATAATAGTGACAATGTTATTGAATTCAATTTCACATTATAATCTATTAAATATAGATTACCTGTGGCTCTGAATTAAATCTAAAACGAAAATAATAGGTTGTATGTGGAGCGGCTGGGGTCCTTGGCAAACTGGAAAATGTTCAACAACATGCGGACCTGGAAAGAGGCACAGAAATAGAATACGAAGTAAACTCAAGGTTCCGAGAGGTCCACCTACATGCCCCGGTGACTCTACTGGAAATGAATATATAGACTGTGATCAACCTCCTTGTTACGGTAAGAAATAATAGTGACAATGTTACAGAATTCAACTTCACATTATGATCTATTAAATATAGATTACCTGTGGCTCTGAATTAAATCTAAAACGAAAATAAAAGGTTGTATGTGGAGCGGCTGGGGTCCTTGGCAAACTGGAAAATGTTCAACAACATGCGGACCTGGAAAGAGGCAAAGAAATAGAATACGAAGTAAACTCAAGGTTCCGAGAGGTCCACCTACATGTCCCGGTGACTCTACTGGAAATGAATATATAGACTGTGATCAGCCTCCTTGTTACGGTAAGAAATAATAGTGACAATGTTACAGAATTCAATTTCACATTATGATCTACAGGGTGTCCAAAAGAAACAGGACCGTAAGAAAGTTGAATAACTTTTTCAAAGAAAATTTAATTTTCAAAGTTCATAAACAATTTTCGAAATCATATTTCTAGATGTACTTTTACATGTAGATTTCAAATATGACATGACCAGGGGGAAGTCGTCTTCTGTGTTTAACGTCGCAAACGAGAGCGATTTGGACAATGAGCTTTCGTCCACCCGTGTGCCCACCAAGGAGTGACGTGATAACTTCGCGCGTATCGAGATGGCTCCACTGGATTCTCGAAAAAAATTGTAGTAACCTTGAGAAAATTACTTCTCATTTCATTAATATTGGGAGATATATAGACTTTTATATACGAGCATGGAGCTATTGAATTCGGCTTTCTAAATCATTAACGTTCGTGATATGATATTCAACTATTGCACAAATATTATTGTTTAAAGACGAGAAATCAATTTCGCCGGCATGTTTGTTTACATTGACAACCCTTACTTCAGCGATAAATTAGACCCCTTTAACATCAAAATATAATTTCAATCTCTTTTGATCTAGAAAGACAACATTAAAAACTTATTTTTTCGATCAATAATAGTGGTATTTGTCTCACAGTTTTCTTCATCCAGCCAATAACAAAATTATTTTGTGTTTTCCCGGCATTTTGTAGTGGTCTTTGAAGGATGATTAAAACAACCTTCTTTCGGTTAAATCGGACAAAACCTTCTAAAATACATTAAAAACAATCACAATATTGATACTATACATCAATTCCACGATAGTATTGAAGGTACACGACGAAAAATATAAATTGCGTACATTATTCGGGATATTTTTCGTTTGCCGCCAGGTTTTATTTTTACAATAGAGTTGCCCATTAGACGCGTTTTCGTCTGGTGCGATATGACGTTTTTTTACCGGGGATAAATAAATTATATGAACTAAATGGATGCATCGGTCTCTTCAGTCTGTGGAATGAAAAAAAAATATCAACGGATGTTACTTATTACAAATCTGTATGAGTTTATGCTGGTTTCCAATTTTTTAACCGATCTGTGCTTTATTCCCACCTTATACACGTACACTCCCCTCCAAAAGATTGGCTACCTTAGGTCCCCATTAGCCTATGTGTTTATTTATCTGTTTATGGTGGATTTCTTGACATAACCTGCCATAAAAACAATTTGAATAGTAAATGTGGAGATGTTACTTCCAAATTCTTAATTACAATAGGTTGAAATTGTCATTCCAATATAGGCTAAATCAATGATAAATGGTGGGTTATAAATGAAGAAAATGAGATTTTGGTATATCTAGCCTATTCAGTAAGATTCATTATTTACAAGTGGTGCAAATAAGGATTTAAACATAAAAAGGTTTTTAACATACACTAGTACTATGTATAGTAATCCTACTGGGGTGTTAAAGTTGCCAAACATTTGATGGGGAGTGTAAGTCACAAGAATGTTTTGGCTTTAATTAGTAGAGGTTGATTTGATTTTTATCTTGTGACATATATCTCATTGTACTCTGTTATAGAGTAACTGAAAAACAAGAATGTTTGATGAGCTAACTTTTCAATTTTTCTTTTGAATTTGATAATTTTGAAAATAGGCTTGCACCCACCTGAAAATCCATTGCACCCACTTGAAACAGAAAAATCATGAAAAATTGGCTTATTTTGACCAATTTTGGTTTGAATAGTGAAAATGAGAATTTTGCACCCACCTGAGAAAAAATCCTTGGGGGATCACTGCAGTACCAAGTCAATGTAATTACTTGGAAGGCTACTTCATCCCAGGTTGGAAGAGATAATTCTATTGAGAAAATATCCAGCCATTAATTCTTATCTTAAATCTTTAAGTCTTAATTATATTTTAACCATACTTAAAGGCAGAATCTGATATATAGGGGGTGACAAAATTACAAGCAACATGTATAATTGACCTACCAATCTATTCCTTACACTATCAAATACAATATCTCCCAAAAGATTCACAACATGTTATAAACTGGTGAAGTTATTAATGATTCAAAGTGCTAAAATGGGTGAAAATGTTTAAATTCTCCCAAAATAATAAGAATGGTAACCATTCTTATAGAAAAATCATGTAATACATTATTGTAAAAATCTTTAGTTTTCTTGGAATAAGGTGTGCACTTTTGTGATTTTGAGAAAATAGACATAACAAGGAATGACATGAGCCAGAAATATTCTAAAATTGAAACAATTTTTTGTTTAGCCTGCTCACTATATCTGATTCTCTCTTTAAATAATAAAGAATGGACTGTCACCATTCTACATAGAGATCGATAAACAGATGACAGCATGTGTACTGGTAGCGGTAGGGCCAGAATATTATTCATAAAATATAGAAAAGTGGCAAAAAGTCATTCAATTTCCTGCTTTATTAGTAAGTAAGTTGCCTTTTTCAATTTAATTCATGGCATGTTCCTGATATAGAATACTGTAACCATATGATCTTGTTGACATGCGTTTTCTGATTTAACATGAACATTTGAGAAACTCAAGAGTAAATAACTTTTAACTGTGTCAATGGGGATGAAGTATGACTTCTTTAAAAAAGAACATCCTGGAAATTTGAATGAAAGTTAATAAGTGTTTTAAAAGAAAATTCACACAGAATTCGGATTTCAAAAATGGTCTGTAAGGGAAGCAGATCATTTTCAAAATATCAAAATAAGACTTCAATGAAATTTTAAAGCTATTAAGCAAACCCTTTATTCCATTATTCATACAACTGATACTAGATTTGTGATCACACCTTCTAAATTTGGCTCTGCTGAATCATAATGTGAAAGATATTTTGTCGGAGGCAATACTGCATTGTAGACGTAGTCAATAAAATCAAGATACAATATCTTTCACAGTGAGATTTTTTCATCTAAAATGTCTATTTTCCAAAGATCACTTGTTGTAAAGAATGAATCAGATAGCAACATACAATCTTTACTAATATTGTTTTAATTCTAGAATATATTTCGGTTGCATAATGCATATCACATACTTGTTCAAGGAAAACAAAGATTATTCCATAGAGTTCTTCTTTCAATAAATGTGGATTTATTATTTGTCAGTTTGCTCCAAACACTATACATACACTCTCTCCTTTGCAACAACAAGAAGTCAGTCATGGCCCCAGCCGGTCATGGCACAGTTTGATGTTCCTCTTAAATTATGTTCATGGCACAGTTAGATGTTCTTAAATTATGTTGTTCTGTAGTCCAAATCTTACATATAGATGATATTTTGTTTTTATCCACAAGAATCCAATGTGTATTGAGGACAATACTGCGAATATGTTTCTTCTTCATTTCTGGAGATTCCTGACATCTGTTCATTTGCCCATATCTGATGAGGGATTGTGTTGTGACCTGAAAACAAGTGAGGCGATTTAATGCACAATTCATTTAATTATGGCTTGGTGTTACAAAAAATAAAACAAATTGTCAAAAATTTGGATAAAAAATTTCACAAAATTTATTTCAAATAAAATAGTATACTGTAAAGACCTATTACAATGATTTATTCCTTAGGACTAGCACACAAATTACAGGAATTAAAGGGGCAACAAGGACTGTAGAGAGAAAATTCGAAATTTATATTTTTTCTGAGCTATCAGGCGTCAATATTTGGCTTAACATCTTCTTTGAGATACCTATTTTCTTAAAATGTATGGATAAACTGTCAATTTCAGCATTAAGAAGTGTAATTCAGTCCAAAGCTTCTATAAAGGGAGTCCCACTTATAGATTTTTAAGATTCACCACGTTTCAAGAGAAATATCAGCTGAAATATTCAAATAATGTTGATCCAGGGTTCTCTGATTCTTTGCAGATAATAAAAATATATGGTAGTCTTGAAATATCCAGACTTGAATATATTTTGACACTGCTCAGTGATTGTTGAATGGCCCCCTGCACTAATTGTTGCACCTTTAAAGGTAAAGGTGGATTGGATTAATGTAAAAGGTGGATTGGATCGGGAATCTTCAAAATGTGGATTTTCCTTTAAAAATTCTATTGATCAGCCTTTAAAAAGATTGGTCCTCTCTTCACTTCCACAGTATCAAATAAAAGATGTAATATTATTTTGCTTACATGGGCTAGAAGGGTGATATAATCTTATTCATTCCAAGTGCAATCTTAGACATTTCATAAATCATAAGGCAGACTGGTTTGAAGATACATATCATCTGTCAGTCCAAACAGAACATAGAAGAAATGTTTTTAGAACATCCACACATCAATTTGAATGACAGTTAAGTTTTATCTACAGATCGATTTTTATTATGTCTTACAAATGGTCATTTACAAGGGAAAGCAGTTGAATTCTTAGGAGATTCCATCAACTTATCAGAGAATGTATTTGTTGTTGCTTTGTTCAGATTCCTCAAATGAACCTAAGTGATTACATTTTTAGAGAGGGAAATAGCTAAGAGGAAAATAAACAGAAAAACGATCTTAAAGAAATTCCATATTTTGTGGATTCCCGATCCAATCCACCTTTTAAATGAATCAAATTCACTCGATCCAATCCACCTTTTAATCTCTACCGATTTAAATTGAAAGGCTTTCTGGATCACTCTTTACAATTAGTACACCTCAATCATGTAACATGCATCACAACATAACATGTATTCTATGGTTTACGTTAGATAATTTTCAGTACATACCTTAAAGATCACTTCAGCAGGTCAGATCATATCACAGAAATAGTTTACTACACTATTAGCCTCAGTGCTGGGTTGTTGGGACTCCTGCAACCAAAATAAAGCAACCGTGTAAATGATCTTGATCAGAAAATATGAAAAATGTAAAAGTATTTTCAGTATTAGTAGTCCGTGTTTTATATTTTTGAATCAGTGTCAAATATGGTGTTATATGCAAATACTTTGCATATCTATTTTATGATTACCTGGGCAATGAGATCAATTACAATTATTAAAGGTCTTATGCAAAATTTGAAAATATAGTCTAATTTACCCCATGCTACTTTGAATGACATGGAAATTGGAAAACTAATGAACATGCGATTTGACAGACTTAAACAAATTCATCCGCCAAGATTCCAGATTTCTACAATTTCAGTATGTATGAAAAAATCTGTCTTTTAGTAAACAAGTCTTTTCCAAACATATGTTCGGACTGATTAATGGTAGCTAATTAATGGACAGACTGATTGACAAAGGACTTCACTATATTCCTACTGAACATTGTTCATTTGGATAATATTAAAGCGAAAGTGGTTTTACATTCATATAGGGCCTTTAACATACAATCAATTTATGTAACATGGTAATACATACCTCAGAAATCAAATAATACTGCAACATTGTAGATCTGGATCATTGCCTTTAGTTAGCATGACATTCACAGATATAGTACCAGAGGCATGGTTGCTACATATACTTTCCCATCCAGTAGCTGGAAGAAAATGATTGTTCAGTCAGTATTATTGAATCTATTGATCATTGAGAATGAAAAGGTACAAAAAGCTTTAATTTGGATTTAAATGAATGTTGTACACATTAATTACAGAACCATGTTGACAAAAATGAAGAAAATCACTACTCTATGTTGAGATCATAAATCATCTGGAGATTATATTAACGAATACAGTGAAACCTTTAGAATGAAACACCTCTTGCAGTGGATCATTTTTAGAGACCAAGGACCAACTGTAACTTCTATAAGTGGAATGCTTACCAAAAATAAAGCAATCAAACAATCCAAACCAACATTCGAGGTCTCAAGGGGGGCTAAAATGGCAATAGATGAGAAAATCTACTAAGAGTTATGCTTAGTTACTACATACAAATTGACCTATATGCATGAATCTTAAGAAATAAACCTTTTATAGGGCGTCTGAACATCATATGAAGAATTGATCATAGTAAGATCCAAGTGGATGAACCTTCATAAATAAACTGTTGATGTGGTGTCTCGACACCATATAAGGAAATCGAACGATCCGAACCAGACTAGGGACCCACATTTGAGGTCTTGGGGGTACAAATGGTGATGGATGAGAAAATCTACCAGGAGTTATGCATAGTTATAACACACACATTTAATTTTCAGAAATAAACTTTTTACATTGTGTCTGAATACCATATAAGGAAATCGAACAATCCGAACCGGACTAGGGACCCACATTTGAGGTCTCGGGGGTACACATGGCTATGGATGAGAAAATCTACCAGGAGTTATGCTTAGTTATTACACACACACGAAGCAGAATATATGTACATTCCAAACTTTTTATATGGTGTCTGAACACCATATAAGGAAATTGAACAATCGGAACTGGACTAGGGACCCACATTTGATGTCTTGAGGGGTACAAATGGCGATGGATGAGAAAATCTGCCAGGAGTTATGCTTAGATATTACACACACATTGACTTGTATTCATGAACCCTCAGAAATAACCTTTTTACAACTTTTCCTCAAAATCCCTTATCTAGAGACGCTGAAAACTAACAATTTGAACTGCAAATGACACCAAACTCCGCCAACACTTTGGTTGATAATTCCGTCAAAATTTAATGAATATTTTTCAAAATGGCTCAAAAGTTTACCTGTTATGTGCCCCAAATGTGTACCAAATAAAAAATTTCTAACCTTCGTGCAAAATGCTTTAAATTGAAAAGACGCTGGCTCTGAGGAAAAGCACCTGTTTTTATTCATCAAAGTTTGAGAGTCTTGATCAGTAAGAAATTGCAATATTTATGGATCTTTTTTCATACCACGTCAAAGCTATGAATCTCAGGATTCCAGTGGCACTCCTTGTTTTAATCTTACCTCGATAATGTCGAAGATTTTCCATAAAACGTGCAAAAAGGCTGCATCGCTGTTACTCATTTCTGCCTGCACTGCGTTCCGTTCTATCGTTAGTTCAACGTCAGAACGTTGCTATGGTAAAAGTATTGTAGGCGCGAACTTAGCCTGGGTATCTTGGCATGAACGTGAAAAACGAAATTTGCGCAAAAATAAAAAATTGAAAAAATGATCGGGGATCAAACATGGGGGTTGTGGCAAGTGGTCCCACGGGTGTTCGAAAGATTTCCCGGGAGTAATTCCCCCCCTGGACATGACTATGAATTTTGAATTTTCAATGACGTAAATCAAGATTATGTCTTCTCGCGTCTAGTCTATTAAAACCTATACTGCTACGTTTGTCACGATCATGTATTTTAAAACTCGAATGAGGCCGACATGTCCTCTACCTATCGGCAGTAATTTAAACTACATTTCTCACATGTATTTGAACAGATTGTTCCGTCCTGGGCCACTTGGAGCCAATGGAAGTACGGATCATGTAGTAAAACATGTGGTACAGGAGTCGTTATCAAAACTCGTACGAGAACACACGCGTCTGGAAACATTGGTGGTGAACATGTGTGTCCGGGAAATAGTATTGAATCATATTCAGTGTTGTGTAACACCAAGATTTGTCACTGTAAGTACATATGTTTGTATACTCACACGGGATAGCCTGACAACGGTAAAGTCAGATACCGTTATCATAAATGGCGGACATAATCGTCGCTTCAATTAGATTTTCATGACATGTATGTTTAATAGAACACCTAGATATTTGCCACCGAGAAAACAAAATATGATGCGCTATATATACCTTTATTTTGGAGTAGATTCGGCTTGTCTTACTCCCTGGATGTTAATAAAATTATCAAATTGGAAAAGTATAGATGTCATACAAATACAACTCATTTTGAACAATTTTATGCTGCTTCTTTAGATTCCCAAAAATATCTAATCTAGAAAGTAACTTAGAATAAAATTCAATAAAATAAATACTTTCGAAACCTAACTTCTCATCAAAATGACTTTTCTAAGGTATATCAAAGTATGCAAGAACACATTATTTCTACAGTATATCAATGTAGGTAAGAAGATCTTCTTTCTACGGTATATCAACATATGCAAAAACCTTCTTTCTAGTTCAGCTGAAAACATAGGATCAAATCCTATGCTAAGGATTTAATGCAAGAATGCAAGATTTGTATGCAAGAAAACCTTCTTTTTATGGTATATCAATATTTGCAAGAAAATCTTCATTCTGTGGTATATTAATATATGCAGGAAAACCTTCTCTCTACGGTATATTAATGTATGCAAGAAAAACTTCTTTCTATGGTATATCAATGCATGTAAGAAAATCCTCTTTCTACGGGATATCAATGTATATAAGAAAACCATCTTTTTACAGTATACACTTGTATTAGAATATGCAAGAAAATCTTTTACCTATGGTTTATGGAAAAAACCTCTTTTATACCGTAAATTAATATACGGTAGATCATTGTATGCAAGAAAACTTTATATATGCAAGAAAACTTTCTTTCTCGGTATATAAATGTATGTATGCAAGAAAATCTTCTTTCGGCGGTGAATTAATGCATGCAAAAAAACTTTTTGTGGGAACTCATTTGTCTAATTTCAATGATTTTCTCAATAAAAGAAACATTGGAAATTCCATGCATGTTTTAGATTGTACATGGGGTGAGTGGAGCAAATGGTCATACAGTGGAGATTGTAGTAAGACCTGTGGTACGGGTGTTGTGCTGAAAACTCGGAAGAGAACCCACGCATCTGTAACAAACGGAGGAACATACATGTGTAAAGGGGGTGCTATTGAAAAGAAATATGTAGATTGTCTTGTCCATGACTGTGGTAAATATATGCATATAGCATGCACTGTCAAATATACCTTCAATAATATGGAAATAAACAAACGTCCTCCATTTGCAACTTCACTGGAGCCTATATTGCTTTTCGAAGAAATACAGGCTACATTATTAGTAGAGTAGTGAGATGACTGTATGTTAGTTATACCATTACCGGCGTTGACTCGTGAAACGAATCTAGTACTGAGATGACTGTACTCGCACATTGATTTCAATCTTTACTTAAAAGGTACCATTCATTCAAATTCAACAATTTAACTTCCTTTTTATGGCTAATTCTTGGTGTGGTACTATTCATATTATAATGAATTGGCCATAAAAAGGTATGTAAAGACGTCAACCGTGACCCGGCAGTTGAATTCACGAATGGTACGTACCTTAGTCTCAAGAGCACGCGAGAAGAGAACAGGTACTATTGAAATGCGCTTCGGTTGTTAACCGTTTCTCCAAAATACAAGTCGCAATTGCAAAACATACGGAAACTTTGTAATTCAATGTTCAAAAATGTAAGATCATCATTCTATATAAACCAAACAATGATACAGTAGATCATCTTAAAACCATTCTAACTTCGGATATGTTCTTCAAATTGTGTTTTCTTTCACATGTGATAATTTCAGATTGCGGAAAATGGGGATCGTGGACAGAGTGGGAATACGGCCCGTGTACAGCTATCATTGTTGTCAATACAGGCGTCGTTAGAGGCAAACCATGCGCAGTAACAGGAATGCAGTCGTGTACTAGAACCAGGAGCTGCCCAGCGTGTAAAACGGGCCATTTATACAAACGTAATAACAATGCTGGTCCAGTCGATGTTCGCAAAAGAACATATGGTGAAATAATCAAATCACCAATTTGCATTGGTGAATCAGTGCAAGGAAAGACGCTGCAATGCTGCAAGATAAGATACCAACGTACGAAATTACTTTATTTGATCTGATTTGCATGATATTTATTTTTTTTGGGTCAAAGGGCAATAATATTTACATTGTAGTTGAGTTATTTCTATTATGGTTTACCAGAGCGGATCATATTATTTTCTCTCGTATGTTATAAATTGTGTATGGAGTGCATGGAGAACTTCGTCATATTATATTCATATTACATTTTGCTTGGAGTACTTCGATCGTCATATTATATTCTCTTGTTTATTAAAGCTTGTGTATGGATTGTTTCGAGTACTTCGTCTTATTATATTCTCTCGTTTATTATAGATTGTGTATGGATTGCTTGGAGTACTTCGTCATATTATATTCTCTCGTTTATTAAAGCTTGTGTATGGATTGCTTGGAGTACTTCGTCTTATTATATTCTCTCGTTTATTAAAGCTTGTGTATGGATTGCTTGGAGTACTTCGTCTTATTATATTCTCTCGTTTATTATAGATTGTGTATGGATTGCTTGGAGTACTTCGTCATATTATATTCTCTCGTTTATTATAGATTGTGTATGAATTGCTTGGAGTACTTCGTCATATTATATTCTCCCGTTTATTAAAGCTTGTGTATGGATTGTTTCGAGTACTTCGTCTTATTATATTCTCCCGTTTATTAAAGCTTGTGTATGGATTGTTTCGAGTACTTCGTCTTATTATATTCTCTCGTTTATTATAGATTGTGTATGGATTGCTTCGAGTACTTCGTCTTATTATATTCTCTCGTTTATTATAGATTGTGTATGGATTGCTTCGAGTACTTCGTCTTATTATATTCTCTCGTTTATTATAGATTGTGTATGGATTGCTTCGAGTACTTCGTCATATTATATTCTCTCGTTTATTATAGATTGTGTATGGATTGCCTGGAGTACTTCGTCATATCATATTCTCCCGTTTATTAAAGCTTGTGTATGGATTGCTTGGAGTACTTCGTCTTATTATATTCTCTCGTTTATTATAGATTGTGTATGGATTGCTTCGAGTACTTCGTCTTATTATATTCTCTCGTTTATTATAGATTGTGTATGGATTGCTTCGAGTACTTCGTCTTATTATATTCTCTCGTTTATTATAGATTTTGTATGGATTGCTTGGAGTTCTTCGTCATATTATATTCTCTCGTTTATTATAGATTGTGTATGGCTTGCCTGGAGTACTTCGTCATATCATATTCTCTCGTTTATTATAGATTGTGTATGGATTGCCTGGAGTACTTCGTCATATCATATTCTCCCGTTTATTAAAGCTTGTGTATGGATTGCTTGGAGTACTTCGTCTTATTATATTCTCTCGTTTATTATAGATTGTGTATGGATTGCTTCGAGTACTTCGTCTTATTATATTCTCTCGTTTATTATAGATTGTGTATTTATTGCTTCGAGTACTTTGTCTTATTATATTCTCTCGTTTATTATAGATTGTGTATGGATTGCTTGGAGTACTTCGTCATATCATATTCTCTCGTTTATTATAGATTGTGTATGGATTGTTTGGAGTACTTCGTCATATCATATTCTCCCGTTTATTAAAGCTTGTGTATGGATTGCTTGGAGTACTTCGCCTTATTAATTCTCTCGTTTATTATAGATTGTGTATGGATTGCCTGGAGTACTTCGTCATATCATATTCTCCCGTTTATTAAAGCTTGTGTATGGATTGCTTGGAGTACTTCGTCTTATTATATTCTCTCGTTTATTATAGATTGTGTATGGATTGCTTGGAGTACTTCGTCATATTATATTCTCTCGTTTATTATAGATTGTGTATGGATTGCTTGGAGTACTTCGTCATATCATATTCTCTCGTTTATTATAGATTGTGTATGGATTGTTTGGAGTACTTCGTCATATCATATTCTCCCGTTTATTAAAGCTTGTGTATGGATTGCTTGGAGTACTTCGCCTTATTAATTCTCTCGTTTATTATAGATTGTGTATGGATTGCCTGGAGTACTTCGTCATATCATATTCTCCCGTTTATTAAAGCTTGTGTATGGATTGCTTGGAGTACTTCGTCTTATTATATTCTCTCGTTTATTATAGATTGTGTATGGATTGCTTGGAGTACTTCGTCATATTATATTCTCTCGTTAATTATAGATTGTGTATGAATTGCTTGGAGTACTTCGTCATATTATATTCTCCCGTTTATTAAAGCTTGTGTATGGATTGCTTGGAGTACTTCGTCATATCATATTCTCTCGTTTATTATAGATTGTGTATGGATTGTTTGGAGTACTTCGTCATATCATATTCTCCCGTTTATTAAAGCTTGTGTATGGATTGCTTGGAGTACTTCGCCTTATTAATTCTCTCGTTTATTATAGATTGTGTATGGATTGCCTGGAGTACTTCGTCATATCATATTCTCCCGTTTATTAAAGCTTGTGTATGGATTGCTTGGAGTACTTCGTCTTATTATATTCTCTCGTTTATTATAGATTGTGTATGGATTGCCTGGAGTACTTCGTCATATCATATTCTCTCGTTTATTATAGATTGTGTATTCATTGCTTGGAGTACTTCGTCTTATTATATTCTCTCGTTTATTATAGATTGTGTATGGATTGCCTGGAGTACTTCGTCATATCATATTCTCTCGTTTATTATAGATTGTGTATGGATTGCTTGGAGTTCTTCGTCTTATTATATTCTCTCGTTTATTATAGATTGTGTATGGCTTGCCTGGAGTACTTCGTCATATCATATTCTCTCGTTTATTATAGATTGTGTATGGATTGCTTGGAGTACTTCGTCATATCATATTCTCTCGTTTATTATAGATTGTGTATGGAGTACTTGGAGTGCTTGGTCATACGGGACGTGTTCGAGATCGTGCAGTATCGGAAGTGTCGCTAAACATCGAACAAGGAGCAAGCAACTGATGGCCAGCGATGATCCAGACGGACCGCAGACGTGCAAAGGGAGTCACATGGAACAAAACATTGATATATGCAATACGCAGGAGTGTCTGAGCAAAGGTTAGCATTGAGTTAGCAAGTTTAGACTTCAGATCTTTCAACGCATGTATTTACAGTTGCCTTGAAGTTGTATCAAGCTGAAATACACATTCCGATACACATCGCATCTTAAAACCCATCTGTATTTAGTTGCTTGATTTTCCGTGCCAATCCCGCTGATCGAGGGGGCAGGGCTTCCCATACAATCTTAAAATTTGCTCTTGTCTTAAAGTAGGCTCTTGTAAAATAGTACTTTAAAAAATTAATTTATTCTTGTTTCCTTCCGATTAAATTCACCATATATTATAAGATGGTACTTTCTAATTTTATAAGAATTAATTCGTACGAACAATTTATAATATTTCGTAGAAACTGTTAGAAATAAGTATAAGTAATATTTGAGAAATCTTTTTTGTTACGAATTTGATTCGTCCGTCCACCAATTCTAAATCGAAAGTACCCTATACAAAATTCCTTGACAATCTATGATGCAAGAAGAGAGGGCCATGGTATTCCATAATGTACTAAGTAGAATACAATTGAGGGTCAAATTTAATGGTCTGTCCCACGCAAAATGTTTGACAACTCTGACACGTTCTTGTCAGTCATTTTTAACCTAAGTGTTACACGAAATGGTATAGCTGATTAATGTCGCTATTAATTTTACTAGTAATTCATTTAATTCTAGATTGTGTAACATGGGGTGAATGGACGCCATGGGAATATGGCGAATGTTACGGTTCACAGCTTGCATATCCGGGGAGCTCACCACCATGTCGAATTCTGGGCTTGAGGCAGTGTCATCGAACACGAGTCTGCCCCTCATGTAAACATTTCGGTAAAAGAGACACACCGAGGAGTGTACAAAGACGAACTTATGGAAGTGAAATCCAACCAGGACGTTGTGTTGGTCAAACCATCGAGTATAAGTCAGATAAGTGCTGTAAAGGACACATAGGTTCGTGTATCTCAATTTTAAGATTGTTACAGAGTCTAAGTAATTCAAATATGTATGCACAAGTGCCAAGGGGATTATACTAAAATTTGTCAGAAAACAGAGTAAGAAAATGAAACATCCAAGAGTACAGCCAGTCAAAGGAAAAACGCCAAATACTACAGGGTGTCCACAAAAAAGTATACCCAACTTCAAAGCCAGGATACCAGGATTCTGAGTCAAAGGTTGCAGTTGAAGGACTTGTTTATTCTCCATTAAATGGTACATAGATCATTATGTCATGGATCACTGAGCAATCAAGACTTTTATGAAAGGTGGTAAAATCAGCACTGTGCCAAGTTAGCGTTCAAGTAGGATTGACACAATGAATGTTTTTTTGTGTTCAAAACATTATTAATGTTCAAATTCAAACTTGTTCAATGTTCATCAACCGTTTTGCATAATTTTCCATAACTTTTTATTGCTACCTCCCTCTCGGATTTGATCACAAGAGCCTCTAGTGCAGCAATGCAACTTCTACATGATGATGTGCAGCTTTAAAGTCAATTGTATCACCCATTTACAGTAAGTCAATATATACACCCTTGCTGAAATCCTCATTTTCTCAGAAAAATTCAAGTTGATTGAGTCTCAACAAGTAGATTCATGTGGGACAGTATTGCTAGAATCCATTTTCAATAGTAAGAATAGGGATTCTTAAACAATACACTGGACTTCTTTTTGGAACTTCATTTTGGCTCTACTGCTCAGGTGTCATTTAAACCATGTTTGCAGGCTTACTTTAGAGTAAGTTAAGCTTTTTGCCAAACATTTTTTTGATAACAGAGTTACTCAGCCCCCAGTCCAGTTCATTATGAAAGGCCTGTCCTTTAACAAAATGTAACAGAAAAAGAATACAGAGGCAGTGACACAGGATCGGTTGCCACACAGGATGATAACTTGGCACAGCGCTAATCTACCACCTATCAGAATTGCCATGATTGCTCAGTCATACATGACAGTTACATAGTGATCAAGGTACTATTTTATGGAGGACAAATAAGGCCTTTTGCTGTTACCTTTGTGTTTCAAAGAAATTGCTCAGGCTTCTAGTAATTCGGTTTTAAAGTTGGGTATACATTTTTGTGGACGCCCTGTAGTATCTCAAGTTAGACGTCCTTGCTTTGATCTAACGCGAAAGAAACACTTCCTAATAATTCACAATATACAATTTCTAAAACCTGAAAACATGTAATTGTAATATGTAATTGCACATTTTAAAGTTAATCTAGGCAAATAACCATCACGGTTTTGCTAACATTTAGTGATTTATAATCTATAAAAGTGTTTTTGTATATGATTAACCAAATTCCAAAATTGGACCGTTTTTATCATTACTCTATTGTAGCCATTAAATTTAAGCATTCTTTCCTTTGTGCAGATGAGGGACAATGGCAGCCATGGACAAGTTGGGCATGCACTGCCGATTGCTCTGCTTTACCCTCTGCTGGGGGAAGAAGGAAGAGAGACGACAGAATGGCAGGAGACATTCCTTTCTCCAAAGAATGCTTGGAGTACGGTATCCATGCATGCATTCGCATAAGAAAGTGTGCAACAAGAACTTGCGAAGGGAACGAGCACGAAGTAAAACATGTGAGATGTTGCGTCAAATATGGTAAGAAGAGGAAGCGAAATTCAGAACACATCAAGCGCAAAAAATAAACTTTTTGTGAACATGGTTAATCCTTGCATAGGCATATCGAATGAGTAGACCTGCAACATTTCAACTTATAATGGAAATAGGGGAAACATGTAATATTTGAAGAGAAAACGTGTACAGAGAAGAAGAATAAAAATTCACACAAAAGCGATAGACTCCAGATTTTTTATCTGGAGTCATATTTTCATTGTGAATGAATTACTAAAGTTAGCCTACCTTAGTCGGTGTCTTTTTATTTTTCTATTTTATTTATAATTTTTTACTTATTGAAAATCAAGATAAATAAAATATGACTTGACTTGGGCAAAGTTCAAAATATGAAATATGGAGCTAACAAATTGATACCATATTAGGCTACACGCATGTCGTCAATGCGCTATGTTCTTTAATTTGTTTAAGATGTTTTCATTTCTTTAACTCCAGTTCCTAAACCTCGCTGTGACAAGTGGAGCAGTTGGAGCGCCTGGTCATGTCCGGCAACTTGTACAAAACTTGTATTTCCTAAAATTCGAAGAAGATCTGCCTTTGAGACCATAATATGCAGCCATGATTATGGCACTAAACTTTGTGAGCGGAGAAGAGTTTGTCCCCCGTGTATAATTGACAATGTTCCGACTTTGGGAAGCTGTGACGGCAACAAAAGGGAAACGGATATAAATCTTTGTTGTTTGCCTAAGCCGACTACCAGACCCTCAGCTCCGCCTTCTACGACTTCAAAACCAACCACACCTATGTCACCACAGTCGTGTGTGGGATCATGGTCTAAATGGCAAACTCCACAGTGTGTATCAAAATGCACCCTTTTCAAAACGGAATCCTCCAAAAGAAAGCGAGACCTCATGTCTTTGGATGAGGATTTCGTGAAGCGTTCGGGAGTGTCCTGTCAAATTGGTTTTTACATGTGTATGTACAAACGACTATGTCAGCCGTGTATATTGGGAGGCAAGTTTGTGGAAGCTGATTGCCCAGGGAGAAGTGAGAATGTCACTACAAAGTTGTGCTGTGTTATAGGTAAGATCACGTGACAATCATTTAATGGGCTCATTTGAATTTACTTGGCATGGGTATTTTTGCATCTGACAGTGTTTTGATGGATCGCAGATGAAGGTCTACAATTTATAACAATCGAAAATAAAACCTATTCCCTGATGTCCTAGCTATATTATAATCACAAATGTTGATAGCAATGTAATATTTAGTAATACAAATACATCTTAAGAATAACAATTCTGACTCCAGGAAGAATCACATTCGTTGACTTTTTAGACTCTCCTCCAACAACGCCAATAGAAGAACAATGTAATTTAAAGGTGGAATGCCGATAACTCGGGGTTAATTCCTTAGAAAAACTCCAAAATGAATCGTTGGTGTCTCAAACCTGCCCTGACGAATGGCTATGACCTTAACTTACCTTTGTCAAAATATCGGAGCCTGAAAAAATCACTCACCTCGATATCGACGAAAGAAGTTTCAGTTTTTATCGACTGCGAGAGCAAAATTCAAGCTGAGCTAAACAACTTTCGTTCATAGTGGAATTGACCTCATGTTAACTACGTCAACTGGTGAATACATCGTTGTTTTTGGCTCACACAGTGAGCCTACATGTATGGGATCGACCAGGCGTCCGTCCGTCCGTCCGTTGGTCCGTCCGTCATAATTGGCCGCACAAATTAAAACTGCTATTCGGATTGAGACATATCCACATTCATTTTATGCATATCCATAATGCCTATTTGACCTATCATCGCCATTTCCCAAGTTTGCCCGGTTTCCGAGAAATTGCTGATTTTGACGTCAAAAAGTCAAATTTTCTGTAAATATTAGACACTTTGTTGAAGAAGAACTTTCAAATAACTTGTAGTAGTTGCTTTATATGCAACTTATGTCCTCTGAAGATTTCAAAGCTCTTGGAATTACAGTTTTTGGTGTTTACTATAAAATTTGACAAAAAGTAGGACTATGTCATTTTCAGAAAACTTTCTCATGTATAAACTCAATGGCAGTTTTTGTGATTGACAAGTTTCTCAAAGTTTGCCTTATACTTGATCATTTCTTGCAATGAATTACATTATTACTATAGATTTAAGCATTCCCTACATATTGCTCAATATATGTCAGCATCAAATTTTTACCGTTTTTTGAGATATTTGACGTAAAAAAACAGTAAAAATAAGTTATTTTTCATTGGGATTCATACTTAGCCATTCAACCTAGCCACAAAAAGTATGTAAATTAGCTGTTCAACATGTTCAATTGTGTTATACAGTATTATCAGCATTCAACCTTTAAGCACGTGTCAAGTTTTTGCAATTCTGGATTTGAATACATACCAGGACAGAGTTGTCCCGCTTGTAACGACGGACGGTAGTTATCCCAACGAACAAATTTCGGTAGGGATATAGTGAAGCCATCCGTCCATCCGTCCGTCTTGAAGATAACTCGAACACTAGTGGACGGATTTTCTTCATATGGCCAAACTGCCCTAATTCGTCACTTTAAAAGTAGTTTAAAAAATGAATGTAGTCCCAACACAATTGTGATCATGACGAGTCAGTAAGCAAGTTTGTAGGTACAGTTGTCATCTTTTTGCAATGACAACATGCCATTTCTTCTGAAAATTTTCAGGTTTTAATTATGTAGGGTTATATAATGTTATGTAATGTTGTATAATGTAATGTAATGTTATGTAATATCATGATGCAATGCATTTCTACGACTCCAAACACCCTGGTTTATTTGTTTATATTATTTAATGCGTTTATTTGGGTTATCTGAAGGAACATTTCGAGTCAAATGGCGTATTAATTTTGCCTTCATTTTTGTGAATTTCAATTTCTGTCGGCAGAGAGAGGGGGTGGTGTCACAATTGACCAATTATTTCAAAAAGTAGATGTTTGGCCCCTCTTGAGTTTAGTGTCAAAATGTAGCCTAGACATAGCTTTAGAACCTCAGATAGGCCAATTTGTTTGGCTATTTGTCTGTGCGTGCCCTCAAGTGCATCATACGCACTCTCTTTTAATGGTAACATTTCGGTATCATATGTCATAGATGGCATTGATACCGATCAGTTTAAAATAGAAGCTGTCGGAGGGTTATGCGCAAATGTGCACGAATAATAAACATTTGTTTAGTAACAAACAACAGCAACGATACACCTTTTTTGAAAAAATGTATGATTTCCACATGGTTAAAATAATCAAAATGACAAATTATCATGATATTAATTGAACTGTCTACCCTAAATATAGGTTACCATGGCATTATTTCTAAATTAATTAAAGATTAAGCTATACTTTTTTAGCATTGTATGTGTAATTACATAATCTATATGTTCTAAAAAATGAGAGGGATCGGGATAGATAAAAAAAATCACAAAATGAGAGCATTTCTATCACAATATATGGATCGCCCCTTGTATTTTGAAGCACCTGCTGTTGAAGACGGGCCACCTATTGGACCAAACAGGCCATTCCCGGATGAGGGATAACGTAACAGGTGAGTGCGTACAGTGTCGCATTGTATATAACACTTTTAAATACATTTCCAAGATCATTTCAAGCCGCATTGTACATTCATGTTACTTGCTCAACAGTATAGTGGGAAGGAAGTATTAGCGATGCATTTTATAGTTCAGTTTAGTTTACTAGTATATTCAAAGTGATAAAGGTCTTCTTCATAGTAATGCTCATTTTAAGTATTTTTTTATTTAGGTGAAATTGGTGCAGCCTGAAAATAATCGATGATACCGACCAAACCGGACGAAATGTGTGAACTGTAAATAACTTTAAATTATACAATTATATAAAGGACTTGCAAATTATAAAATTTGTTGTGTTTAACACTTTTTATGAAAAAATCAGGAATTCGGATTGTAAATTAATGTATGAACAGTCGGTGCAATGGACTGGACGTCTTTGAGTCATATCGTGAGTATAATTGAGATTTTGACATAAATATTCGCGAATGCAACTTTCGCCTGTCGGCTACCGAAGCCTAAAATAGAAGGTTAATCCGGTAACCCTACAGCCAAAAGTTACATTCGCGAATACAATTTCAGTTTCCCCCCCCTCTCCTATTTCCTCCTTCTATGCTGGTATCTTTGCAAGGTTAATCGTTTTAATTGTATGCATTCACTCTAGCAGTGCTGATTTACACAGGATAAAACATATAAATAAAACTGGTCCCTATGGGGCAGGCGAATAACAAGAGTCAATAGCATCCTATTCTACCTCAAGCATAATCTCAAATCAATTCTCTTGCAATATGACTCTGCTATAGAAAGTCCACCGTTGACCACCTATGACTGATCAACTTCTTTATTTAAAAGACCGATGCTGAAATATACTTTTAAAAGAGTTAACACAAACATGCAATCTGAGCGTATATTAGAATCAACATGTTGGTGCATTGTGGATTGTTAAGATTGAAAAATAACTGATTCTTGCAAGTGTATCGATTAGTTAGAACCCCTCCTAAATCATTCTAACGCTTATTTGTCATAATTTGTCGAAGAATAGATTTTTAGAAGTAACTCAATCTACGAATCTACCAGAACCAAATGCCGCAATTCAGTATGTACTAGATATAGTATTTAGATTCTTATATTCAAGGAAGGTTTGTTATATAACTAATGTAATAGATTTGGCCTTCATGTGGTCGCATTGCACAGTGCTTGGCGATTACAGTCTTATAAAAGAATAACGTATTCCCTGTTTCACTGGAATGTACACTTTTGGCTAAGCATTATGAATGGGGAATTTATATTTCCAATTTGGTGGTCTTCATGGGGTTCCAAGTATGTTTTCCATATTTTAATCCACATGAATTGATCTATATTCTCAGAAAACGCTCAATTAATATTCTTGATATACAGCAATTGAGTGGGTACCATGTCCTCATTAATGGTACCAACTATGTGAAAACCATTCTATAACTGCATCTTAACTGTTTCAATAATTCTTGTCCGATGGCTCATTGAATAAATCCAGGTAGCAATAATTGGATTTGGTTTTCATAGCCTGGAATTGACGTCGTGGGTTGTGATATTACAGTATGATATATTCATCGTGTATTACTATTTTGATAAGTCGTTTTAATAGTCAAAACACGTAATTAATAAATTCCTTGTATTTGAATGAAAATTCATTAAGGCAAAAATCGTTATTATTTTATTAAATATCTCAGTTGAAACAAATAATTTGTCCCCAATATTGTCCTCCAATAGCTTCCAGTACTAGGATGATTACTAATCAATGTTATTATTGAAGATATATTAAATCGTAAATATTGTTCAAATGTTTCCAGTTTATGTCCTCATTAATGTGTTGAAAATAAAATGAAGTTATGCGTCAAGCAAGTCTTGAAGCCGTAAGTTCGTATCTCTGTGCGAATACCGTTTGTGTTTTAAGTGTTTTATTTTGAAAACCATATAATAAGCTCATAATAGATCAAGCTAATGTGTTTCCAATTGATTTATTTCTTAGTGTTCCATCTTATGTAGCTAAAATAAATAGCGCAGTGCTAATGCAAGTGACCAGTGGCCATTTACAGATCTAGAAACCTTGTAAAATTACAAATTCGTAAATATAATTATTGTAACCTTATTACTAAAGCGGTTCTCAAGGTATCTCAATGATATCATAAAATACAACAAAGAAGCATTATGATATCATAGAAGCCACTTAACAGCCATATCACATTGGTAAAATCTGTATACATCCAGTGTCAGTTGAATTATAATTGTGAGTTTGCATTTCAAAATGCATATAGTTATCTTGGAAAACAGGGTGATCAATAAATAAGGTAAAAGTATATCTGACATTTCTTAAGATTTACTCATCCTCGTGAAATTTGCATGGAATAATCGTCAAACATAATTGAATTGATATATCAAGTTGCAGATCAAAGTGATATGATTGGTTGAAGTTATGGTTCCCATAGCAACAGAAAGCATGAAGACCCGGAAGAACTATTAAATTTTCAGTCGAAGCACTTTTGATAATATATTTTAAATATCATTTAAAACGACATATCATGTTCTTATTTTATATTTCGTGACTACATATTATATAATGTCATTTGTTTTCAACAGCATATAGTTCATGTCTTTGACTCTAGTCTTTGAACACCTTTTTAAACCCATTTTCCGAATTCATTTTCAAATTCAAACATATTCTCAGTCATCATATGTTGAATAGCCTCACATTCTTATCAGAAAAAAATATTTATAGGATATCCTATGATTTTGAGGAATATCATTTTTATCTACGAGGTGATCTACGAGGCATATATCAATATCACCGAGTAGATTAAAATGATATTAATGGAATCCCACAATATTTGAGGGTTGACAACATGTTGAAAAATATCAACATGTTGTCAACCCTCAAATATTGTGGGATTCCATTAAGTGTGAAATAAGAAACATCTCCATTAATTATTCAAAAAGAAAAGCACAATTGAAGAAACAGAATACAAACAATTTGAATACTGAACTTAAAGCTGCATGTAGTAAACTAGCTAGGGTGCCAAATGATGAAAACCAAAAACAAGTTCAATCACTACAGATGAAACTAGATCTTGAAAATGTCTCACAAGCAAAAGGCGCACAACTTAGGTCAAAGATTGATTGGATTCAACAGGGCGAGAAAAATACAATTTTTTTTTTAACACTTGAGAAATTTAGAGCTAAAATGAAGACAATTGACTGTATCGAAAAAGACGATGGTACAAAAAGCGATTCAATTGATTGTGTAATGCAAAATTTATATGAATACTATTGTAATTTGTATGCTGAAAATGATGATGTTACTTATTCACTTGATGATTTTATTCATGACATTGAAATCCCACACTTAAATGATGAAGAAAAGTCTTATTGTGAGGGAAAAATTAATGATATTGAATGTAAGGAAGTCCTTAAGAATATGAAAAACACATCAAGTCCAGGTATAGATGGACTCACTGCCGCTTTCTATAAAATGTTCTGGATCAAAATAAAACATCTTGTTGTTAATTCTTTAAATTTTGGTTTTGAAATAGGTCAATTGTCCAGCTCGCAACGAAAAGGAATGATAATACTATTGCTCAAAGGGAAAATGTTAAACTCTGCCAAAGTCAAAAACTATAGACCAATTGCTCTCACTTGTGTTGATTATAAAATTGGGGCAGCAGCACTTGCCAAACGGTTGCAAAAGGTTATTATAAAACTCATAAATTCTGATCAAACAGCATACCTTAAAGGAAGAGGGTCACATTTTAACTTGAAAATTATTGATGATCTAATTAACTATATTGATTTTGAAGATGAAACGGGTATTATAATAGCATTAGACTATGCAAAAGCTTTTGATTCAATTTCTAAGAAATATGTCATGAAAATGTTGAAAGTATATAATTTTGGTGAAGATTTTATAAGATGGATTGATGTTTTTAACAAAAATGCAGTGTCAGCTATTTCAAATAATGGATACCTCAGTAGTTGGGTACCTTTAGAACAAGGTCTGAGACAGGGCTGTCCTCTTAGTGCAATTTTATTTATAATGGCAACAGAAATATTTTCTTGTAAAATAAGGCAAAATAAAGACATTGAAAGTATATGTTTAAAGGATAAACAAAAAACAGAAATAAAATTAACTTCTTATGCAGATGATACCACATTATTTTTAAGGACAAAAGATTCAATTCCAATTTTGTTAAATGAGATAACTGCATTTTATAAAGTATCAGGCCTTAAACTAAACATGGAAAAAACTCAAGCAATGTGGTTGGGGAGAAGTAAAACAAAAACAGAAAAACCATTTCATCTAAACTGGAAAATTGGTAAAGATCAAAAAATTAAAATATTAGGAGCTTATTTTAGCAATTCAGGTTCATCTTCTGACCTCGACGAAAATTGGCAGCCAAAAATTGAAAAAATCAAGTGTCTCATTCAATCATGGAACAAAAGAAATTTATCACTGTTTGGAAAAGTAACAGTCATTAAAAGTTTAATGGCTTCCCAAATCACTCATATGTTAATGGTATTTAAAGCTCCGCAGAAATACTTAGATGAAATTAATCATATATTGCATAGATTCTTATGGCAGACTGTGGAAAAAGTAAAAAGAAATGTAATTAGGCAGGATATTTTAAATGGAGGCTTAAATATGATAGATATCAATTTATATCAAACTTCCCTTATTTTAACCTGGATAAAAAGACTATATGATAATGAAAATGATCAAAAATGGAAAGCAATTATGAATTTTTATTTGAGTAAAATGGGACATTCTCAAAATTTGTTCAAGTACAATTGTGAATATAAAGACTTAAAAGTACACAAAAATATTCCAACATTTTACTCGTTCTTATCCAAATCATGGCTGAACAATAAAACTGTAAATATCACTAAAAACATTTGTACTAATGATTACTTATGGAATAACAGGAGTATATGTTACCAAAATAAACAATTACATTTTAAATCATGGGAAAATGCTGGAATAAAATTTATCTCAGATGTGATTGATAAAAGTACACGAAAAATAAAAAATGCAGATGTATTAAAGGAAAAAATTGGGAGAAATCCTAACTTTTTCATTGAATACAATATGCTCCGACAAAGCCTCATAAGAGTGATTGTAAAACAAGATGATGATAACACTAAAACTACATTCAATGAAATTGATGTAAATAAAGCAAATGCTCAAATGATCAGAAAGTCTTTATTAAAACGTAAATTGGAAACTCCAATCAGTGAAAGAGGCTGGAATGATTCATATAATCAGTTATGTTGGAAAGACATTTGGCTTAATGTTCGAAATATTA